GAAATAAACATTTAAAATATTTATTAAGAAATAAAAGAAGGCACAATTGGCAGAACTAAAGAAGCCACAAGACCCAGGTTTAGAAGCCTGTTTGAATCACACAACAAAGAAGCTGTCCTGTGTTTCAGATCTGAGTTGTAACTTGTTACTTCTCTAATAAATCCCATAATCATGAGCACTGTCCAAGAGGCTTGCATGATCATTGTAATGAATTATAAAAACAAATAATAGAGTAGCAAGAGCCTTGAGAGTGGTGATTGGTGTTATCATCTATGTTGTTGTATATTGTCAAATCAGAACAGACTATGAGCTGTCCCTCCAGCAGATTCTTTTAAATTTATTTGTTAATTTTAATGAATGTTTACAGAGACTTAGGATTTCCAGTCATTCATTGTTGCACTTTTTTCCCTGCCCATTCTCACCCCCCAGACACACAAAAAAATTCACTCTTTTCCTTGAAAAGAAAAAGAAAAACTTTTTCATTGTTATGCAATTCCCTCCCTTCAAGTTCACTCCACTATGCAGCCTTTCCTCTGGACTTCTGTAACGACAAGAATACCCATCCATATGTCCCTTTTAAACAGATCTCTCTTTCATCTGTTTCAATACAATATACATCATTCCTCCCGTCCTTTTCTGTCTTCCCTCAACCCTGATGTTGGTCTTTACAACAGTGGCCCTATGCAATATTTGTCCATTTGTGATTGAGATACTTCACTCAGCATAATGTCCTCCAGGGTCATTCATCTTGCATAATATTTCATGAGTTCCTTGTTTTTCAATGCTGCATAGTATTTCATTGTGTGAATACACCAGAGCTTCTCAATCCATTTGTTTCTTGATGGGCACTTGGGTTGTTTCCAATTATGAACAAAGCCACAATAAACATGGGTGGGTGTGTATATATATATATACATACATACTTGGGTGGCAGTTATGGTTTCTTTAGGGCAAATTCCAGTAGTGGAATTTTTGGGTCAAATGATATTTGCAACTTTTTGAGAAAGTGCCACAATGCTTTCCACAGTGGTTGCACCATTTTACACTCCCACTAGCAGTGAATAAGGGTTCCAGTTTTACCACTACCTCGTCAGCATTTGATGTTTGCTGTTCTGTCAAATTTTGCTATTCTTACTGGGGTGAGATGATATATCATAGTTGTCTTGATTTGCATCTCTCTTAGAGCTAGGGATTTTGAACATTTCTTCATGTGCTTGTTAGCCATCTGAATGTCTTCTTTGGTGAAGTGTCTGTTCATATCTTGTGCCTATTCTTCAATTGGGTTATTTACCTTTATCTTCTTGTGCTCAAGTATTTTACAAATTCTAGATATAAGTCCCTTGTCAAACATGTCATTTCCAAATATTTTTTCCCAATCTGTGGCTCCAGCAGATTTTTAAAGGCTGTAAATTGCTTGAGAATAGACTGACCATCTTTCTTCTGCAGAGCTGCTAGCACATTCAGACTGCTGCCTTTGAGTTAGCAGCACCACTAGGCCATCAGCGGTCTATAGAAGATATGAGGATATGGGGGCGTATCTGAAATCCTAGAAATCTGCTTTGTGCTATTGAAGTCCTTAATAAGTATTCTTACCCTCAGTGGAGTCAAAGGAGGTCAGTTGCTGCCACCCCCAAACCTCCATGTCAGCTATAGTGGTTTTACAAAACCTTCATAGAAAAAAGTTGGGGGAAAAAAAGAGAAGAATTTGTTTTCACAAGACCTTACTTAAAAGGAATGTCAAAATAATTCTTCAGAGAAAAGAAAAGCTACACAGGTAAGAAACTCAGCTCTCAGCTAAAGAAAGAAGATAATTTTAAATGGAGTAAAGGTAGCATGCAACCATTTGTTTATTTATTCTGAACAGCTGATCTCAATAGCATTTAAAAGGTAGAAGAAGAATACAACAAACAACTTTATGCACTTGAATTTGGCAACTTAATTGAACAAGGTACATTTCATGAAAGACACACTTTATAAAAATCCACATAAGGAAAATAGATTATCTGAATAGATGTATATCTATTTAAGCATTGACCTAACAGTTAATAACTTTCTAGAATGGAAAATTCCAAGCCCACTTTAACAGGTAAATTCTAATAAATATTTATAAAAGAAATATTTTAAATTTTCCACTCTTTCAAAAATAGAAGAGAACATTTTCTCTTTTGTAGTACACTAATACCAAAACCAGACATAGATGTGACTGAAGAGAAATATTGTAGACTACTGTGTCTCATGAATATAAATGAGAATAAGCAGATACTATTTTTAACAAATAATAAAAATAGACACCGGAGCTAAATTATTAGATGAAATGTATGCAAACCAGAAAATACAGCATTGGAGAAAATCAGTTCTTTTGACTTTTATGATATTTTCTGATAAAGCAACAAATACACAATCCATATTAAAAAAGTTGCACTTCACTAAGTTAAAAAATTATATTCTGTGAAGGATTTTGTTATAAAGAAAGAAGGCTCGTATTAGAGAAAATATTTTATATGCTGCTGAAGAATTTGTATTTCAAATACACAATAAACTATCCTAACTCAATTTTTAAAAACCCCATCACAAAATAAGAAAACATCCTGAACAAACACTTCACCAAAATAAACGTGGTTGTTGTTATGTCTTGTCGAGTCACTTGTGACTCATAGTAACCCTATGTACATAGCCCTGAAACATGCTCTATCCTATGTCAACTTTACTGTCTCTGACACACCTACTCTAATTTCCCCAGTCACTGTATCAATCCATCTCACTGATGGTCTCCCTCTATTTCTTCATCCTTCTGCCCTTCCAAGCATAATATCCCTCTCCAAGGACTGGTCTCTCCTTGAAACATGCCCAAAGTATGTCAGACGAAGCCTCAGAGTCCTTACCTCAGGAGCAAGCCCGGTTTCATCCAATCAAGGATGAACCTGTTTGTTCTCTGGCAGGCTGTAGTATATTCAATACTCTTTTCCAGATCTCAAATGTGTATGTGGAAAGACATTCAGCATCTTAGATAATTTAAACCAAAGTGATAGTATTGTATACTTAACAGAACTGTTAAAACACAAAACACTGAGAACCTTCAGTGACAAAGACATCATGTAATTAGGAACTATTACTCATTTCTGGAGGAAAGTATTTTGCTTTGGAAGACCAGTAGACTAGTAGTAGGCTACAAAACAAACATACTACATATTCTACAAAATAAACATATACTTCAAGATATAGTAGCAAATTTTCTAGCTATTTGCTCAAATAAATTAAATACATATATCCACATAAAAAACACAACTGTACATGAATAGCAATCTTTTCCACAATTGTCCAAAATTGAAAACCTCAAAAAATGTCTTTCAAGAGTGTGTTCAAGAATCAGAGCTGACTCACAGTTAATGCTCCAGGAGATTATCAGGACGCTGTAAATCTTATGGGTGGAGATTGCCCATTTTTTCCCCCTGTGATGCCAGAAGTGGATTACAACTATCAAAGAGGTGTTGCATTTAGATTAGCAAAACAACTCCATATGGATTACTCCACCAGAGCTCTCTGCCCTTCAATAGATGAATTTATAAACAATCTATTTGTGCTTTATTGACTATGCAAAGACATTTACTTTGTGGATCCTAAAAAGTTGTAGTTAACATTGAGAGGAATGGGAGTCCCAGAGCAGTTAATTGTACTCATGTTGAAGTTGGACTTGGACCAGGAGGCTGTTGTGCGAGTAGAGCAAGGTAACACTGCATGGTTTAAAATTAAGACGGGAGTGCGTCAGGTTGTATTCTCTCTCCATACCTATCCAATCTGTATGTTGAGCAAATTTTCCGAGAAGCTGGGCTCTATGAAGAGGAATGTGGCATCAGGATTGGATGGAAAGTTATCTATTACCTGTACTGTGGAGAAAACACAACCTTGCTTGCTGAAAGTGAGGAGAATTTGAAGCACCTGTTTCAGAAGATCAAGGAGTGAAGGCTTTGGTACAGATTACAACTCAATGTCAAGTAAACAAAGATTCTTACCACTGGACCAATAGGCAGCATCATGATGGATGGAGAAGTGATTAAAACTGCCAATACCTTCATCTTGCTTGGATCCACAATTAACACTCTTGGTATAAGCAGTCAGGAAATAATGAGATACATTGTTGCACTGGGAAAATCTAAAGTTAGGGACCAATCCAAATTATTGATGAGTAGTGATGTCACTTTGAGGACTAAGGTACATCTGATTCAGACTATAGTCTTTCCAATCACTTCCTATGCATCTGAGAGCTGGACAATGAATAAGAACGACAAAAGAGGAATTGACACCTTTGAGCTGTGGTGATAGAGAAGAGCACTGAACATCTCATTGATGGCCTAGAGAACAAACAGATATGTCTTGGAGAGGGTACAGCCAGAGTGCTTTTTTGGAAGCAAGAATGATGAGGCTTCACCTCACATACTTTGGGCAAGTTGTTGGGAGGGGCTATTCATTGGAGAGGGACATGATACTGGGAAGGGTGGAAGGTTGGCAAAGGAGAGGAAGACCTTCAGCCAGGTGGATTGACAAATAGGTCAGATCTTTTGTTCATAGGGTCGCTATGAGTCATACTAGACTTGACAGCACCTAACAACAACCAGTGCAACCATACAATGGAATGTATTTAGCAATTTTAAGAAATTATTATTAAGCTATGAAAAAAGTAAGAGAAACTAAATGTATATTGCTAAGTGAAAGAAGTCATCTAAGAAGACAGTGACTTTATGTTCAAAATATATGGCATTTGACATTATGTTAAAGGCAAAATGGCAGAGAAAGTGATAAAGTACTTCAAACAAACCAAAAACCCAAGACCACAAGTAATTGCAAAGAGTTTATCAGAGCAGAGAGAGAGAACTGGTGGTCCAAAATATTTTAAAGTTAATATAACTATTATATAGGATACTGTCATGAAATCTATGATGCTAGTGACCTCAACATGGACCCTAGTCTACGATTTATAGTTAATTTTATAGATTTTTTTTTACCTTGCTCACATGAACATGCAGTTGATGGTTCTCAATCAGGTGAGAAAGTTTATTGGCAATTTCCATCCAAGGTTTGTAATAATCAGGAAGTTCTTTCTGCATTGAAAATAGAAACATTGGCATATTTTAGATCTCTCTAGGATTCAACTTTAGGGAGTAGCTGCTTTCAGATTTCAGTTTTCAGACCAAACTAAAGTCAATTCAGTTGTACACACATTAACTGAGAATTCATCATGCCAGTCACTGTAGAAACGCAGATTATAAAATAAAGTCCTTGTTCCTAAAGGAGCACCTGGTCTAGTGAAAAGGTAAAACAGATAGATACGTAGTCAGATGTATCCAATACATTATAATGTGCTGTATTACTAATATGGGTGCAATATTAAAAGCAGTAAAAGGGAGGAAGAGTTAGCTTTGCCAGTTGCTGTGATATATTCAAGGGGCATATTCACAGAAAGATGACCGCTAGGTCTAGTTTTAGAGACCACAAATAGCTACTTAGGTGGAAGGTGATGGAGGGGAGACAATAAAGATAAAGACAATAAATAACAGATGAACAGGAAAAGCAGAGCTTTTTGGAACAACAAGTATCTCAGTGTGCTGGAGTGTAACAGAGGATGAGACTAGAAGGATAGCATCCAGATCAAAAGGTACTTTGTATAGGATAAAATTAATTCAATTTTAAGTAACTTGATGGCATAATTTCATTTTAATTATAGGAAAGCAATTTTGACTATAGAATTTTAGGACATTGAGTCAAATTTTGAAGTTTTTGAAATAATGCTCATGCCCTGAATATGATGAAGAATGTGCATGTTATTTGTTGTTATTTTTATGTACCATCGAGTTGGAACAGACTCAAGCTGACTCTCCAGCGAGAATTTCGAGACAGTAAATTGTTGGAGAGGAGACTGCCCATCTTTCTCCTGAGGAGCAGTTGTAGATTTGAACTGTGTGTTTTGGGGTTGGCAGTGCAACTCCTCAAGAGCTATTTAGAGAGCAGAATTTAAATGATATCCTAATTAAATTTGGAGGAAGGCACGTTTCAGCAAGATCATGAGTAGTCTAAGTGGCATCATTATTGGGCTCACTACGGGTTGATGGAGCTCTCTGGTTTAGCCAAGTATAATGGGCTGAATTTCAACGCTTTCCACATCTTTTCCAGGAGATGATAATTATACCTGTTTTGGTAAATAAAGTTTTCTTAGCAAGCAGCTGCACTTGTTTATATATTTTCTATGACTGCTTTTAGGCAGTACAGATCATCCAAGGCTCTGGGCTGTATGAGGAGGAACGTGGCATCAGGATTGGTGGAAGAGTCATCAACAACCTACATTATGCGGATGACACAACCCTGCTTGTCGAAACTGAGGAGGACCTGAAGCGCTTGTTGCAGGTCAAGGACTGCAGTCTTCAATATGGATTGAAGCTCAACATCAAGAAAACAAAGATTCTCACCACTGGGCCAATTGGCAGCATCAGTATGGATGGTGAAGAGATTGAGATAGTTAACAGTTTTAGTTTACTTGGCTCCACAGTCAGCACTCTTGGTAATAGCAGCCAGGAAATAAAGAGACAAATTGCATTGGGAAAGTCGGCTCTGAGGGACCTTTCAAGAGTACTGAAGAGCAATGATGTCAGACTGGAGACTAAGGTGCACCTGATCAGGGATAGTCTTTGCAATTACGTGCTATGCATCAGAGAGCTGGACAGTGACTAGGGTTGATAGAAAGAGAATTGATGCCTTTGAGCTGTGATTCTGGAGAATAGTGTTGAATATACCATGGACTGCTAGAAGAACAAACAGGTTTGTCCTAGAAAGGGTGAAGCCAGAATGTTCCCTGGAGTCAAGGATTCTGAAGCTTCGTCTGACATACTTTGGGCATGTTGCAAGGAGGGACTGGTCCTTGGAGAGGAACATCATGTTTGGCAGAGTGGAGGGGCAGCGAAAGAGAGGAAGACCTTTGATGAGATGGATCGATTCTGTGACTAGAGAGGTGGGAATAAGTGCGTTTGAGATGGCTAGGTTGGCACAGGATAGAAGAGTGTATAGAGCTCATGTACATAGGGTCATTATGAGTTGCAAGTGATTCGATGGCACATAACAACAACAACATGACTGCTTTTATGCTATAATGGCAAAGTTAAGTAGTTACGATAGACATCAATGGGCTACAAAGCTAAAATATTTACTGTCCACACCTTTACATAAGGAGTTGCCATAAACTGATCTATTCTTATGATCTGCTCTTTCCTATTTAGTGCTGGAACCTAAACTACTGAATATCCCATCTCTAGTTTGAGAAGAAGAGAGGAGCTAAGAATGATTTCCAGACATACACATTATTTGACAGAATTCATCAGTGGAAACAAGTGCAAGTTGAAAACAGAGTGAGTTTAAAGATAGTGAATTTGTTTTTAAATTCATAGAGCTTAAAATATTAGTGTAATGTAAAACTATGGCTTGGTGCAGCACAGTTGGATACACAATTTGAAGTTCAAGAGGGAATTCCTCTGAGAGATACTTAATTGGGAGACATAAATATAGTAAAGATCCCATATAGTGGTTAAAACCACAAAAGGGTCAAGGTCATTTAGAGGAACATGTGAAGTGAAAGGAGGAGAAGAAATCCTAGATTGGAACACTGGGGAATATTTACAAGGCAGTCAGAGGAATTGAAACCAGCAATAAAGATCTGGAAGATGTTTGCATAGATCAGCAAAAGAATTCGCTTGAAGAGAAAGGCATTTGACAGAAACGAAGAATCACCAGAAAATCAAACACATGATTTAAAAGTTCAGTTGACCCATTTAAAAGAGAACTAAATGACTAATATATATCTATATATGTAAATTAAAAATTTAAGATAATGAAATCAAGGTTAAATATTAAGATCTTAAGTAAACAAGATGACAGAAAATGCGGTTTATTTTTCTCTTCTATTAGTTTGTGTAAAAAAGGAAGGCAAGAAACTGTTTTTAATTTAACAAAGTCTTAGCAAACTAGGAGTTTAAAGGCTGTTTCCATCTAAAATTGAGAAATTTTAACAGTTTATGATCCGGACAGGATTGGAGGGAGACTCATAAATACTCTGTATTATGAAAATGATACAACCGTTTATTGCTGAAAGTGAGGAGAACTTGAAGGACTTGTTATAGATCAAGGAATGCAGGCTTTGGTATGGATTACATCTCAATGTCAGGAAAAACAAAGATACTTACCAATGGACCAATAGGCAGCATCATAATGGGTGGAGAAGAGACTGAAACTACCAACACCTTCATCTTGCTTAGATCCATAATTAACACATTGGTACTAGCAGTCAGGAAATAAGTAGACACACGGCACTGGGAAAATCTGCAGTTAGGGATTTTTCCAAATTATTAAGATACTAAGTCCACGGGGACCAAAATATGACTTCGAGTCTATCGCACCTGAATTTCAGAACCAGCTCAGAAACAGTTTTGAGGCCTTGAACACTGAGTGAAGACCAGATGAGTTGTGGGAGGATATCAAGGGTATCATCCAGGAAGAGTGCAAATGGTCACTGCAAAGACAGAAGAGGAAGAGAAGACCAAAATGGATGTCAGAAGAGACTCTGCAAATTGCACTAGAGCACAGAGAAGACAAAGCAGAGGGAAGAATTCAAGATACTAAAGAGTTGACTAGAATATTTCAAAA